CCCTCATCCTATCGCTACACCCCCTGATCACGAGTCTCTCCCCACCTTTCCCGTAGGCCCCCTTTCAGCCCTGCAAGGCCACTGTAAGGTCTCCCCAGAGCCTTCTCTTCTCCAGGCTGAACACCCCCAACTCTCTCAGCCTGTGCTCACAGGGGAGCTGCTCCAGCCTCCTGAGCATCTTTGGGATCTTTCTCTGGACCTGCTCGAGCAGGTCCGTGTCTTTCTTGTGCTGGGGGCCCCAGAGCTGAACACAGCCCTGCAGGTGGGGTCTCACCAGAGCAGAGCAGAGGAGGAGAATCCCCTCCCTGGACCTGCTGGCCACACTGCTCTGGATGCAGCCCAGGATGCCATTGGCTTTCTGGTCTGCGAGCGCACGTTGCTGGCTCCTATATGTTTTATTCATCCACCAGTTCTCTTTATGTAGAAGGACAACTTGTTTTTTGAAGAACAATCTGGGGTAGTGATATGGAATTTCTTCTCTCACCTGGTACCTGCCAAGGGGTGTAAGAATGAGGCCATCCTCGCTTTCAATGCAGTCTGGGAGCTGTTTTTTTCCATTCTCGTCTTGAGCTGTCCCACACTTCATCATCATCTGGGTCAGCTGGGCTTCATTCAGCTACAAGAATAACATGGTTCTAAAACTTGTGTTTGATCTACCCCCTTCTGTTTCATTTATTTCTCCCTTCACAAACCCCTTAGCACTGGAAGCCTTTGACAGACAGCACAAATACCAAGAACGGCTTAACAGCACCTCAGTTAGACATTAAAAGGAGATAAAAGCCTCCAGATTTCTTGTCTGTGTTCATCAAATCCAAGAGAGGTGTTCTGTTTTATATGTCCCTTACTCCTTGAGAGCTGTCAAAGAGCTATCTTCTCCTAGGTCAATTCTGTATAAGGGAGTGTGGCTGACAGAGAAATTAATCAGTTCTTTCAAGTTTAACCAAAGAAACAGCCTACTCCTAGTTCATCCATTCATCTATAGCTGCAGATGTATGTTGTATTTTTGTAGCTCTTTACATTTAGAAGATACTGGACCGTTTTTAAAATTTAAGCCATGTCTTGCCTGTTCGTAAACATGAGAACAGGCACAAGTAAAGAGACAGGATTGGTATGAACTATAGTCCAAAAGAGTGGTCACTTGAAACAAAGTGGGATTAATATTTAGAAATTAAGAGCATCTAGTTCTATCTCTATTGAAAGCAGTTTTGAAGTGGTTGGGTAAAGTCAAGCCTAAAAGAAATTTACAACAAAATTTGCTAGCAGGGTCTCTGGATGGCTTTGTGACCCCACAAAGTACAAGAGAGACAGAAGTACCTTTGAGGACTCCTGACTCTTGTTCATACTGCCACATAGGGAACGTTCTCAGAAAGCTGTTACGTACCTTAAAGATTTGGCACAAGTATTCCAGTGCTTTCTCTAAATATTCATCTGTTTTTTTGATGCTGTCTTGCCCAATTTCATCAAGGTCATTGCCTGTGTAGGAACCATTTATCTCAGATGGTGTAAATCTAAACCACGAAAAGAAGGACTGGCTAGCCATTGTCTCTGCAGAATGGTCTGATATGGATTTTGCCGTCTGCTGCGCCTGACAAATTAACTGAGCCAGTTTTAACACCTAAAACAAACAAAAATAATTGTGTGGGACAAACAAAGGACTGCTAAGCATCAATACATGGATAAAACTGTGCCTTGATACCTGGCAGTGAGAGCAAACTCACTCTCTTAGCTCATATGGTCTTGTGCTAAGACTGTTAGTTCCATTTCTAAAAGGTAGTTCTTTGCTGTGGAAGCATTTAAGAAACTCAAGTGCTTATTAGGTTTTTCAGCTTTTTTTTTTTACCTCCTGCTATTTTCATCTGACTGGCAGATAGGTACTAATCAATACAATGCATCAGAAGTTCAGAGCAAGCATGCTTGAGAGGAAATACTCACAATGTACTACTCCCAAGGCAGCAAGCTGCTACATTAACTTCTTATTTAGCAAATAGCAAGCAGATTTTTACAGCTCTGCTGGACTGAGGCTCCTCAGGTTCCAGAAGTCACCATCAGTAAACTTAACTATACAGTAGTGCAGGGTGTAAAGTTTTCCACTCTTAACTTATAGAAAACTTCTTACAATATGGATGCTCAACACTGAGAAAACACCCGTCCAAGAAAGACGTCTGACAAGAAACTTGTTGCTTACCAGATTTCTGACTTCTGTGCCAAACATCTGTTTGTACTGGAAGTCCTGTCCTTCCAGGCTGTAAACGTGACTCTTCACCTTAAATGAGGCATCTGTAATAGTTGGAGGCCACGATGACAAGAAGCTTCCACCAAGTGTGGGGGTCATAAAAAGTCGGTGTTGACGATGGGGAATAACAAGTTCTGGCTCCAGGAATAACTGTTCTCCTAGAATTGGAGAAAAGTAGTGAAGGTGCTTACCTAATTCTCCTTTTTTCTGCCTGTGGAAGGTCTAGCTACAAAAGCATCTTAAGTCTGCTGGGCAACTCGCTTTTAGGTAGGCAGGTAGTTCTAGGGGGAAAGAGGCCTTAATTGCCTTTTTTTCGTTCAATCTCTCTGACCACAGCAGAAAATGTCAGAGTGCATTTAAATGCAGACCATACAGACAGCATTTTAAGCCTGTAACTTTTTTTCAACAAAGGCAGTGGAGAATCATGATGTTTAAGACATTGATACTTATCAAATCTTGCCTCTCCCAAATTTACTGTATCCTAATTATCCTGAAGTGCATGCATGACACCCAATATTTCGTTCTTTAAAGAAAAATTGTGGAATGACACCTAAATGAAGGTGGTTAAAAAGAACTATAGACATATTAAACCAATACAACAACATTAGTGAAGCCACCCAGACTTTTGAATGGCAAAAAAGCATGCAAGATGGGAGAGTAAATCTATTCACCTCAGTGCTTCTGAGGCAAGATGTAGCCATTGTGAAGAAAAAATAAGACAGGACAGCATAAGATGTCAAAATATCCATTTACCTTTCAGGATCATTTCAGCTAGATTGGGCTGAGCAAAGACCTTGGCCACTCGGAACACCATGAGAGCGTTTTTTGGACTGACCAAGTCTGTTCGAAGAGCTCTGTTCAGAAATCCTACAAACAGCTTAGTATACATGAGTAGGTTTTCTTGAATGAAGGCAGCCCTGTCAAAGTGGGTACAGGATTTGTGAGTACAGCTATTTAAGTAATTGTTACTTTCTTTTCTGCCAAATATGTCATTAAGGGAATGTTTTATACTGTCTCTGGAAAGATGGTGTATTTGCACTGAGACAAAAGAATACAATTCTCAAAACAAAAGCTTGTGTTGTTACAAATCATCTCTGATCTTGTACAGGAAGCTAATTCAGGTTGGTGGATGCTTCCTGAAATTCTGCTGTTTTACTCAGGATCTGCGTAAACTTGAGGCTTGGCTCAGGTTACTCACAGTTGCTTTCCTCCTTACCATTTCTCTGGCACGCTGCGAGGCAAGGGCTCTGCGCTTTGTGGTGGCTTTTCTGGAGCATACCTCCAAGGCTGCAAGTAACTTAACCACATCTCAAGAACCTGAGCAAAATCACACATAAAAATACCTAAGTGTCGACACCTTTTGGAAAGGAAGACAGAAAGGGGTTTTTATTCGTTTCTTTTAAACCTAGTGAGGATTATCTTAATGATACCTAAAAGTTTTTAGGATTAAAGCTCTCTCTAGTAATCTTTGAAAAAGCATCTTTGAAAAAGAACTGAAAAAACTAAGTGCATGTTTGTTAGGACCAATCTGGATTTTCTGTAATACCCAAATGAGATGGCACTCAAACAGCTACTACAAAAAACCAAAAACTTAGTTGGTAGCTACATTTAAGGTGCATTTAACAGGTCTGAGAGCATTCACTGAACCTCTACTGAAGTAAGTAAACAAGATGATGCTACATTAAAATGAGTTCAGCTCTCATCTTCTGCATAGACATACCCACCACCCTGAGGAAAACCGAGTGGCGTCCTGATTGCACTGAAGCCAAGACTAGGTTTGCCATGGCCTCTGTAAACATTTCTTCTGACATTCTGCCTTACATGTGTACCTTAAACACGGCGATATAGCCAACTATAGGTCTAGTGAGCAAGATCCAGCCCTGTTACATTCTACATTTTTAAACTACCACATTAACTACCAAGTCATGGTCTGATGTATTTCTTTTCCTGCTTGCAGGAGGTAATATTTGCAGTATCTTGCTATTGTACATTGATATAGTATTACTTGTGTTTATGACCTATCATATTACACAAGTTACTATGAAATTAGGACCTATAAGAATGTATCTGCTTTAAGAATAACACCTACTTCTTTTCCATCAGCAGCCATTTTCAGTGTTAGGAAAATCAGCGAACAACCTAAAGTAATTCTCAACAAGATGTATTCAACTTGCTTCTTGTGCCTAATTGGCACTCTTTCTCTAACATGAAATGTACATGTTATATAAACAATTTCACTGCTTTAGAAAAAAAAACCCTAAAGACCAAGAAATAGCTGCTAAACAGCAATAACTAATTACTAGTTCTACTGAGTACAGACTTAGAGAAGCAGGTACGTACTGCTCTGAAAGAGGCATCCAGAGGCCAGTGGCCAAAACAGTGTTGCAGGAAGATATAAAGTTTCTCCTGGACAAACCGAGGAATTACAACCCTGCAAACAAAGACAGTCACATGTATAAACCAGCAGCAAACTTCAAAAACAAAAAACCCCAACCCAACTAACCAACAACCCAACACACTTCAACAAATGCAAATGCAGAAAGGACTGACCCAAACTTATTCTTTCTTAACTGAAGCTCCTTCTGGCCATTGAATTTCAACCTAAATACATACAGATAAAACTCTCCACTAACCTTGGCCAGGATCCGCTGGTAGCATTTTCTTTTTTCTGACTTGTGCCAAGATACAGACTAGTGTACTAGCATGACATCCCCCCTCCTGAACCCCCCATCTAGTGCATGTGAGAGACACAATCCATGAGGTCTCTTGTACTTTTAATAATGTACTTCTGTATTTAGCCATCAAACCCACCTAATTCAACCTCTCAGGGAAAGCAGAGCTTTTCCAGGAGAAGCTCTATACGTTTCAGAGTCAGGCTGCTCACGTACCTACCTTTTAAACTCCTCTAGTGGGCTGGCTGTGTGGGAGTGGGCCGAAGGGGAGAGAGGCTCTGGTTTCAGGCTGTTGCTGAAAGCATGCAGATGTTTCACAAGCAGTCTTACCACTAGCACGTGCTCTTCAGTGGGTTTAAATGACTCCTAGATTCGAAGCAAGAGACAGGAAGATAATGAGTATCATATGCTAAATGTCTAGGAGATAATTCAGGAAAATTATATTCTCAGATTAGAAAATGAAATACAAGAAACGCTGTCTTCCTTCTAGGTTCTTCGCTGTAGTTTGGTGCCACCTGATTTTGGACAGACTTGCTCCCCAGGACAAGCTGTGTCAATCTTCTGCCATCAGTTCACTAAGAAACAGTAGCGTATTTTTGATAATGGGATTGTAAGAAAAAGTATCTACAGTACTCTAACGCACTGAATTTCAGGCTAGCATTAAAGAACAGAATAACTCATAGAACTTGACTTACCCCTTTCTGAAAAAAGACTATTCAGCCTTTTCATTATGGTTAAAAGTTCATTGCTGTGCACAGCAAAACAGATCCTTTGTTTATGCTCTCGGCTGGCTTTACTGAGTTCTCCTTCCTAGGCTGGTACTCATCTGCCTTATAAGAAATAATCCTAGAAAGAGTTACGGTAAGGGTAAGAACTGCTTCAAGTCCTGCATGATCCTGTCATTTCTAGCATCATTATGTGTAGAATTAGCTGGGGTGGGAGTAGCACAAGGACTGATGGTGAGCCACAGTGACGTTACTAATAAATGAGTGAGTGTATGATATCGCAGGGAGATGAATGAGGTGAAAAAGAGCTAGTTCACCTGGGTGCCCAGCACCAGAGCTGGTCTGCTGCAGAATCTGGGGTCAAAGCACTAACTCCTTTGCTTCTGTAATCTGCTTTAAGAGTAGTGAACTAATCTCAATCCATTACTGAAGGCAGATTTTAAGATATCATTTGTATTCTAAGTTTCACAGCTTTCATATTTCTCAAAAGTTGAGAAGAACGTATGTGAAACTAAAGTTACAGCTGCAAGTATAATGGAAGAGGCTGGAAGAGTGTATTAGATAACAGCTGCAAGATGTGTCCAGGATGCCAAATGCAGCCATGCTGAGGTAAGACCCTGAATATGATTCTAGGGGACTGGCAGGCATTTTTTATACAAAAAGCTTCCACTTCTTAAATCCATTCAACACTATTTCCAGTGCTGGGCGCGGGGAGAGGCTGTGTGTCTTTGTGCGTTCTTTCCCTCCAATGCCTGAGGCAAAGCAGATCTGTTTTTACAATCTCTTAAGACTTTTAATATACTGTAAAGTTCACTCCAGGAACAGACTCAAGGCTTGATGATAGATCTAGTCATGTAGTGCAGCCAGATCTGAGACTCTTTTAAGAGCAAGGATAACCTGTTACCAGTTCTAATGAAGGCTGGCCTTGCATTCTTGACAGCTCCTGGTACGTCTGCGTCTTCTATAGTCCTGAGGAGAGTTTTTATACATATATAACTGAGAAGTTACTTGGTCCTAGGAGTTTAGATCAGGATCTCCAAAAGCAACTAGAGAGGTTAAGTACTCTGCTATAGGCCTTGAAAGGGTGTAATTAAAAAAAAAAAAAAAAAAGGCTCCCCTTGAAGGTACCTTTTGAACTTACAAAACCACCAATACCACTATTTCAATACATCGTTTCAGGTGACCCGAGTAGTTTTTCCACTCAGCAAAATTTCCTCTTAGCCTGGATCAGCACCATTACGAACATCACTAGTTTAAAAAGTATTTTTCCTTACAAGTGTTTTTGTTGTCAAACCTTAGCTTACAGGAAGGACGATGCCATTCTTTTCTTAACACGGTAATTATATAAACATAATGGTAAAAAAAGATTTAAAGACAAGTAGTAGTTCCTGTTTTCCTTTCTAAACAGTACCTTGAGATATCATAGCACTTTATAAAAAAAAAGGATTGAACAGCAGGACAATTCCATACAGTGCTAAAGAGCTTTATAGTATAATAAGAGCTTTATAGAACATATGCTCAGCCCTCCCCGTTCCCAAAATGAAGACCCAATGAATAAAGGGCTGAAGTAGGGAAAAAAAAAAAAATCAGCAATCTGTTCCAACAGGAATGTTTTTGCATGCACATTTCCTGAACAATCTGCAAATGTACTACTCGTGTGCTTTTGCAAAACTGAATGGTCAAGTTCACATTGCCGCTACAAATTTAGTACTACCCAGTGACATTTCACAGGCTAAAAACCCCTAGATGTTACCCACCTTAATTTTAGGTGACAGCCAGGCAAATTCCCTTCCATGCAAGGTTTGCTTAAATGACTAGTGTGTGAGGGGCAGGAATCTGCCATCAGCAAAGCCAGTTTTGGTGCCCAAAAATGTCAGTATAGCTGATAAGCCTCTTTCTACAATGCATTACAAGAATGCATCTCTACAAACAAAGTTCCCAATTAGCCCTTATAATAAGCTAGATTTTAACTATTTTCTCCAGGACCTTTGCTAATAACTCTCAGTAGCTGTTTTTCACTGAAAATTTAGTAAATCTCAATGCAGTGTTCTCAATCAAGTTGTAAACCCACACCTTAGCAGAAAAAGCTGCTGTACAGCTAGTACTGATACACTTTGCAGATTATATGATGGAACAAGATTTTTAAAAAGGAAACAAAATGAAAAGATGATAATACTTGGTATGCGTGGAGGGCCTGGTAGCTGGATTGGGCAGGACTACCGTGGTGTTTACTGGAGATACTGAGTCGGTAGTGGAGAACCTCCAGCTGAGACAATAGAAACAAAAAGGAAGGGGGGGGGAGGGAAAAAAGGAGAGAAGAGAGCAAGAGAAAAAAAAAAGTGAGAATGAGCCCAAGGAAGAAGGGTGGGGAGAAAAAATGAACATCACAAATAGTCAGGGACAACATATCACAGTAACAACTGCAGCCACAGTATCCTCTTCTTTCTGGTGCTCACTAGATTGATTCCACTACCCTTTAGCAACTTGGAAATACAACTGGGAGCAGGTGCCCAAAAAGTACAGCAGTAAGTGGCTGTGACTGTTCTCTTTGCTACCCTCAAAGCAAATACTGGCAGGGGATACGGAGCTTTTGCCAAATAAACTCCCCGTTCCAGTGAATGCAGCTACAAGGATTTACACACTGCTACAGTGTTTTATTAAATAATAGAGTAAAAGTGTTCAATATTCTGGAAGCTTTTTTAATACTGTTTTGAAAACCATTTCTTCCTGTGCTGCTGGAGAAGCAGGTTTGTATACTGAGAAAAAACTCAAATTGATACTTCCTTCTTCAGGAAGAAACAAAAGTTTGGCGTTTTATAATCACTGTGAGCCTGTCCAGTAAGTTTCCGGTTTGGAGAAATCCTCTGTCATCTCTTTCTACGGAAAGGGCATTTGGGAAGGCTGCAGGTCTTGTGGATTTCCTCAACAGAGGAAACCACTTTTACTATTAGGGAAACATCACATGTATAAAATAGCAGGAGACATGCCTAACATAGTGTTATATGCTGATGCAAAAGGCATCTTGGCTTCACACTGAAGTCTCTGCAAGCCTTAGCCAGATCCCTTCCTGGATGAGTGAGGTGAAGAGTATCTTTTGACAATGTGATGGTGAAAAGGATACTGTAGCGACAGTGAGACACGTGTATGAAATTAATGAAAAAACATAAAACAAAAAATGTACACTACACCCATCCCAATGACTATTGTCAGGCATCTAAACTAACTCTCCAGATCACACCTCTGCTGTCTTTGAACAGCCCCTACCCAATCTCCTCTACTGCCAGTTTGGTATCTTTTGGTTTGACCCTCTTGGAGCAGTAGGATTGTTACTGCAATCTCCCCAACAGCTCAAACACATCATCTGCTTCATAATCAACTCCCCTGCCACAGGAATCGGCAAGAGCCTGTAGTCTAATGGGTGTTCCACATGCAGTGCTGGGGTCTGTGGCACCTGGCATTGGAAGGTCAGGAAGCGTTACATCAAGTTTTATCAAACAACTTATTTTTAAGGGTTCATTGTGATTACAGCAGAAGGGAATAGGAAAAGACATGCTGCACGGTTGGGCTCTGGATCATCTGAGAAAGAAAATGCAAATACACAATGTAAAAGAATGGGAAAATAGTTGAATTAAATGGGGAAAACAGGGAAACTCAGCAGAGCAAATAGTGTCAACCTCAGGTTCACACCAGATCCAGAAAGAATTCAAAGCAGTAAAGGAGAAAAGAAGTACATCCTCTCAAAAGAAATTATTTACTGTTCATTCCCATTCCACCACCTTCTACTTGTGAAGAGAACTCTGTGATGATATTAACAATGTTTAAGGAAAATCTATCATTCCTTGAGGCGCTTTACAGGGAAGTCATATATCTGGGATCTAGCTTGGCCCATCAAAGCAAACAAGTCTGGCTGCTGGACAAAGAAACAGCAAGTTCTGTGGAACCCCATCCCACCTTCCAATACAGGTATGTAGCCATTTCAAGTCACTGATGGTCAAACGGGTCTAGATCCAGGGATGAAGGGTCACTAATTACCCCTCCCCTTCCAAATGCACAGAAGGCTAAATGGAATCAAGTGAACCTACATAATTATTAATAATTTTAAGAGTAAGGTTTAGGGTGATTTTAGGTTTCCAGTCAAGGCTTTTAACCCTTATGTTAAAACAAAACTTGCATTTCTGTATATTCTACTTCCTTATCTGAGGAACTATGAGACAGACTGTTCTCCTTCAGCCCACCCCGAGACCAGTCTACAAAGCTTAGTTTAAGCATCACAGGCTTATGAAGAGTCCTGTCCTCAGCTGATCTGGAACCTTTCCTCAGTCCTGCAGGAGGGATCCTTCATCCATTTATGGATGTCATGGGGAGTTCCAGTCCCCTATTCAGGTGTTCCAACCCCCAAAGAGCAAAGACTTCCTTTTTTACATGCCCATGATTACTTCCCATCAAAGGTGAAACTAAAGTCCCATCAGGGAGTTACGGCCTCAAGCTGTGGCTCAACACACCTTGTGGAGGATCCTGAGGTCAGGATTTCAGAGAACTTTAAGCTCTACCTAGGCCCTATCCCACCATAACGTTGACAGTCATTGTCTGTAACTGCTGCTCCCTAGCGTTAGAAGAGAGCATCTGAAATACAGAGGGTGAACAGAGGAGAGAAGTTTAAAGCAATCATTATTTCTGGCCTAAGCACAGCGCTTGATGCACAGAGACTGGACAGACAGACAGACCAAAGGTACTTCAAGCAAAGCCTTTCCATCACAGGTGCACAGCCATGCTGCTGGGAGTCCCAAGTGGAGACTTTGCAACGTTAGTGAGTTTGCATTTTGACCTTGACTTTAAGAACAAAAGACAAAATCCATCACATTTCAGCTCTCCAATCTTTTTCCCTAGCAAAATATAAATATGTTTGTTATTTTATAGCCTGTGGAGTGAAGGATCAGAATTTCTCAGTCAACCAACTCTCATTTTTTTTCTTTCACACAGGAATAAATCCTGAGTAGCTTTTATGTTTCTCTCCTCTTCTATGAAATTCCCACTGTGACCCAGAGGGAATTCAGAGGATCAACATTTTCTCCTTCAAATTCCCTTCACACTTACAATGCCTTTGATCTTGGCCTCCCCAACACTTACTTTGTTTTTACATGCAGTAGTTTGTTACTGAACAGGCCACCACAAACTGCTTAAAACAGTGTATTATCTGAGCAAGAGCTTGTAAGATATTCTGAACTCTGTAGCTACAGAACTACCTCTGACACCATTATGGTGAAAAGCGTATTTTGGAATATGAAACGACAAAAATGGCTTATTCACTTAACACTGAACGACAGTTTAGTAAGATTTCCTTTTTTAAGTTGATTTATGCTAAAAATCAGTTACAGATCTTGGAAATTACGAATTGGTATTCCAGTAACATTTGCTATCACTGCTGGAAATCAATTTCAGCTTTTTTTAGCAGCCATGTTGCCCCAGTAGGATTTAACACTGTGGTTTTACAGTGGCATCTTCCCCATCATTAGTAGTTTGATTATTGGTGTTCAGATTGTTGTGACCATCTCACAAACTTGTCTTTTACAAAAAAACAAAACAAAAACAACACAGCTTCTGCAATGAAGGCAAATCTGGATGACACACTGACTCACAACATTCTTCATAACTGGATTAGCAATTTTGACACACTCATGTAAGTACTCTGATAAGTTACTTCTTTCCTTTGGACCAATATACCAAAAAAATTCTCCACAGAACAGGAGATTCACCCCAAGATAAGAGGTCAACCATCAGATGACGCCCATGAATGAAGTACAAACTATTACCTTGACATGAGGGGACTGCATTTTCTGATACATTTCCAGTGAATAATGATGAAGCCACATTTCAACAAAGATCTGCAAAACAAATATTTTCTCAGCCAGGGAAAGAGAAATAATCCAGGACTTGACAGTCACAAGCTAGGTAGAAGGGAAGACCATAGTATATAATCTGAAAACTAAGCTGCACTTAGAAATAGACAGGCACCTATTCAGAGATGTTTCAGGCTATCGTCATGTCAATGCAAACGACTAAGCTGGCATACTGTTAGCACCTGCTGAGCATCAGTAATTCAGTTCAGCAATATGGCAGGAACTTGTTTCAGAACAACTGTTAAGTCCAAATTCTCCTTTCCCTTCCCTTGATGGTGAACAGAACCAACTTCTCTTGCTGAACCTTTGCTTAGAGCATAGAATTAATGTAAGATTAAAAAAAGAAAGAAAATCAGGTTTGGAAACATTTCTGTAAAAAAACTACTCAAGTAATAACAACAAATAAGTTGTTAGATATGCAGTCTATAAAAAAAAAAGATAATTAAGTGCCTTTCTAAATTACAACTTAACAGTTTCACAGTGGTTCTTTGTTTTGCCAACAGAGACCAAGAGCTGCGCAGCTCAGTTCCAAAAGCAAGCTAAAGCAAAATGGCATAACTGTCTCTGGTTTAAAAAGAGATTCCTCAGTTAGCAGCAAGAAATGCCGTGGGGTGTTTTCTTCCTTAAACCCCACTGACCTGAAGCAGTGTTTCTGATCTCCAGATCTCCTGGGAAGCTGGGTCGGCGTTCACAGAAGGCTGATGGGCAATGTGCCGTTTCAGCAAGCTGGTGTGATGCATGCCGTAGGAAGTGAAAGGCACTGCGGGAGACCTTGAAAGACATGAAGGGAAATACTGAAGCCGGTAAGCCTCAGTACAGGGAAACGTGTCACTGCTTTTAATCACTGGTTTCTAAACTGGAAAACAATCTTTATGAAGTAAAACTGCACAGCTCATTACATACTTCAAACTTCTGCAACGTGTTACAATTACTAGTCCAACTATAAGCTAACAGCACCTCACTAGTCATACTGCACTGAACCAGCCTTACACAGACCTGATGTTATGTTCAATAATACATGGGGTTTTCACTTTCTCCTATTCAATCTGTTTTATTTCACTCTGCCTTCCATATTCGTAATTAACCTGATCTGTATTTTCCTAGGTATATGCTAAGGCTCAACAGACCATAGAAACTGATACTTGAAATGCATTTAAAATGCATTATATATATATATATATATAAAAAATAATGGCTATTTATTTTTACACTTGTATAAAATTGCTAATATTGGTAACATTTTATAAATTCAAGTAGCAAAACCAGTTTTGAAAATGTGGACTTTCACACACTCAGCCATTACAAAGAACAAAAGACTGGGTGCTTGTATTGGGGGATTTTCACTTCAACTTTGTGAATCTGTTTTTATGCCATTATCACACAGACATCTAGAACTTCAGTAAGTGGTCCAAAAAATCTTTCATCCTCTTCCTTTCAGTTGTGGCTAAACAGCTTGATCTCTTACCATGCAAAAGAGTCACCTGAAATGCAGTCACTCATTATATGATTTGATTACTAATAAGTGTCTTGGCTTTTTATGGCAGGAAGCTGTGAACTGAGAAACCTACGAGCACCATCAGTCTGCAACAAAGCCACAGGCACGGTCCTGACTCAGTGGTTTTGAAGAAATGCAAATAGGTGATGAGAGCATTAAACAATTAAGGATGGCAACCCAGGAACTGAAACAAAACGACCAACTGCCAAGTTGTCTGGCTTTGCAGTAACATTAACGAAAGATCCAAGCTTCCTTGTAGCAGTGGTTAATCACCAGTGCCAGCTTTACCACATACCGTATGTATCTGAAGACAGTAAAATCTACCGTCAAGTACAGTCAGATCTGTCCTACTCCAGTTGCAGGTCACAGAACACAACTGGAGTTGCTGAACAGATGAATTTCTGTTGCTTGTACACACCTTTGCTGCTCCAATAATTGCTACCTTTCAGATTTACAAATGAAACCTTTATGGTAAAACTAAGTGAACATAAATCTACTTAAATTTTGTAATTACATAGTAAATACATACAGATCCTAAAGAGCAGATGTGTTTTCTACTTGTTAGAGATTTTGTTCCAACAAGCTGTATTTTGTAAGCACTGTTCCCACAACTTGCCTCTGGCACTGAATTACCTGGGAGTCGGGGAAGGGATGGCTCCCCCAGGATTTGAAGAAGGCAGAGGAAGGACGCTTCCTTCTGTGGGTAGGAAACACTTCAGGTACGTGTCCACCAAGATGAAATAAGCACTGTTGGAAGGGCTGACGTGATGGGCCACGGGTGAGTTCTGAAACAGACACCCAGGATATACCTGCAGTTACATAGCGTTACTTCAAGCCACTGCTAAGGAACGTCTGCTCCACAGCCGGACCCACTGCTATAGACAAGCAGAAGCCCAGAGCTTATAAAGGGTGAACTGACAACAAAGACGCTTTGGAGCAAAGGTAAAGTAAGTAACTGCAAGAGAACCGCTGCTGTAGTAGCGAATGTAACCAAGCACGAGAAGAGTGCAGTGTTATGTAGCACAGGCAACAGCAGGGAGAGGAACCAAATACCCACAGCACAAAGCTGTAGTTGTGACTGTATTGATGGTGTTACTGGATAGAGGGGCAGAAAACCCATTTGGAATCGACTGCCTGCTCTGTGTTGGCATGTTGTTGGACAGACTGCTTACTGTATATCTGAGGCGGGTGTTTTGTTTATTATCTGGTCCTACACGATCAACTGAACCAAAGCAATAACAAATTTTTAAAGTACACATAAAACTGCTGTTAATTTAGCTGGACAGATTCTCAGCAGGCTCTTAAAGCATTGTGAAGAAAGGCGAACACTATTTTAAGAGGAAAATTGCAAAAGGTACTTACCTTCTGTGTGATCAAACTAATTGCGAAGTAAAACATGTAATATTCAAATGGATCTGGAAGAAGAGTCAAGGATCAGGTAATAAAAACCAGGTACAGCTCTTAGATATCTGGAGATGCTGACTAGACACTAAATTTTCATTTTGCCAATGCTAAACTAACTTGCTAGAGCTTAACAGCAAATTCAGCTTCACCTTCTTGCTTTCCAACTGACCCAAACACCGGTAAATGAGTTTTCTCTATGTGGCAAGGTGCATTACTCTTCTTAGCACATTCAGCTATCTCAAACTGAAACCTGTGCAGCTGCAGCCAGACTGCTTCCAACAAGTACACTAGCTGCAAAGTTAACATGCCCTTTTTCTATCACATTACATAAACTAAGTAGTTATGAAAACAAACATTGTGAAATACAGGCTTTATCGAAATAACTGGAAATTTTGTTGTTGACTTGAATAAGGCCAGAAATTCCCCCACAAGGGTTTATAAGAGGGCAAATTTATTTTTCATTGGAATCTAAACATTTCTAACCAGCCCAAACTCTTCAGCATGACTGTGATTTACCACAGACACAATATACGACAGAAATGCTCATCATCTCTCAGTTTTAGACATTTAAAAGGAATTAAATACCCAACTGTTAAAAGGATACTAAGAGCCAAATTCAAACCTAAACCACCAGATGAAGTAAACTGGACTTTGTTGTGGTATAAAGAGCATTCTGGTAGGACTTGCTCTTGTATTGAAGCCTTCACAGGGCCCTGAAAGACAAGAGTAATGAAATATTAATCTGGCTACTCAGCATACTTGCAGAGTATGTTTTCAGATAGTAAAATTCTCCTGCATTCCAGCACTCTGAGACAATATCTATGCTCAGCTCAGTGGGATTTTACTGCATTGCAGTAGTTCCTTGTGCAAATGCATACTCTTTAGATAACTGCCAACTTTCTCACTGAAAATGAGTATTTGGCATAAGAAAAAAAAAAGAGCCTTCAGCACAACTTTTCCAGTTGGAGTGGGAGTAGCAGAAGACTGGTGCTTGCCTGATGGTTTTGTTAGAGTAATTGAGCTGTGGACCAGCAATTACTATATGTTTAAATGATTTTTTTCTTTTTTTTCAAAGGCTGTAGAACTATCTGAATCAATTTCTAGATAGCAGGTAGCTGGTAGCAATGGAAGAAACTTAGTGAAACAGTTTTGCAGTAAACATTTTTGTTTGAAATCTCATACTTCATCTCCAGGACAGCAGTTAGCCTTCAAACACATGGCCACAAAGCACAGCCAGGGAAGGCGCTGCTTTGTCATGAGCTTGGAAAACTATTTTCAATCCTGCAACTATTGGTAACCAAGATAAAGCACACTACTTTCTCTGGGGACAGGATAACAATCCCAATGCAGCTCTCTTGGCTGAACAGCACAAATATCTTGCTGCTGACAACCATCATCTCCTACAAAGTTTATGGCTGGAAACTCCCCTCCTCTAGCAACCCTTTAAAGAAATGGGTGTGCTCTAAACCTGGAGCACTGAGGCTATACCTTGGCCTACATTGAATCATACATATAAAGTGTGTGCAAAGTTCCAAGAGCTGCAACAACAACTACATTCTCTTCTTAAAAGATTTTCAGTTACTCACTGGAAGATACGAGACTGGGAAATCATATCTGTACTCTTCTGCTTGAAGTTTGTAAACCAGCTTCATCATTGGGCCACTGAAAACAGGTATCGGAAAGAAAATCCATGGTAAGTACCCTCTTCTGTTCCACTTTTGTGACATGGTCAAAGAGTGGTTATTTGTTCACCATACTTCTTTTTTTTAATCTGTGCTGAAATGAATGAGTTTACCTGGGATCCAGGAAATCCAAAGCCACAGAATATTCAGTAGGATTTGTTCTTCCTTGCAAGCAGCGAAGATTCCAGCCTACAATGACGCCATCCAGACTACCAAAAATGCTCTCCACCAGCCACGGGAAGATGCCATGTAGTTCCTTTAGGGAAAACAGACACAACTAGTCAATGTGTGCAGTTCCTCGCTTGAGCAATCTCTACTGCACATACCAGAACGCAGAAAGATACTGTGTGCCAGCTATCGGTGACTGTTTCCAGATTATCACGGGGCAGAGCTTCCATTCAAAAGAATGTATCACCATATGGCAGTTAGAGGGAACCTACCCGGATTTCTGATCCTGCTGTACTCATCAGCATCGCATGCAATTATTTACCACATTTTAAAACCCAGCTTTCCTCGTAAATCGAGGCTGAAAGGTATTGATGAAGTGCAGTCAACCGAAACAATCTTTAAACGACTACAAAAGGTTTTTAACTTTCGGGAAGCACTAGCTTCCCGCTGTTTCACCTGGGGTCCTCAAAACTCTTGATAAAAGAAAGAGGAACAAAGAGAACAGTAAGAGGAGAAAAGCAGGCTCCCCTGAAACGCGCTGGGCAGGCAGCTTCTGAAAAGGCAGCGACTGCTCACCTTGGCGGGAAACTCCTCGATGACTGTCTCCAGATCGTGGCACCTCTGCACAAACGGTTTGTTTACACAATCCGCCTTCAAAGTGGCCTGTTACAAATCACAAGGGAAATCAAATCACCGTTGCCAGAAGGGACGGTATTTACCACGGCCATGACGTAAAAACCCCCGAATTACGCCGCTCCTCGGGTACAGCACCTCTGTCGCCATGGCCGAGGCGACACCGGCCGACCGCGTCACTTGACGGTACATAACAAAGCTGCCAGTTAGCCGCGAACCCCAAGTCCGACCGAAACGGG